GTTAGAAAAAGTTCAAACCCAAAGAATTACATATACATCTATGAAATTATACAGCTAAGTAAAATTGTGCACGTAGGAGACGCACTATTAATGTGTCTAAGGTACTTCTATACCATGCACACTTATTGGCAAAATATTACTAAATAGATAAACCTGTTAGTTTCATTCTCGAATAGAACATACCTTGTCAATTTACATGTGTGAAAAGCGTGATAAAATAGCATGCATTCTTTAAAACACATATCAAATTTATTTTTCTATTTCCTTTCAATATTTTGCATCTAAATATTGCTCGTTTATTTCAATTTGTTCCTAATGCAACTATACATCACAACCTTGAAAATCTTTAAAATGTGCAGAAAAGGTGACATATTTTGTACCAACCAAAGTTTATTTCATGACAATAAATCTTCCAAATTGTGAGGAAATCAGTATCTCAAAAAACAGAAGAGAAAAATAAAGGACCCTTCACTTATAAATAAAGAATCTAAGCATTCAATGTATCCATCTCCTACTACAAATAAAACTAGCTCTAGAGGCCAGCTATAAAGGTGAATTTTAGGAGACTGCACTTTCTTTCATCTTCCAATAAATATACAAGAGCTGTACGGACCCTTGATGTATAAACAAAGAATTCAAGCAGTCAGCATACTTATATCTTGTTTACTACATCAAGATAACATGCCTTACCTGAGGATTTACTGCAATAGCTACATCACCAAATAAAGTCTCTGGGCGTGTTGTAGCTATTGTGAGAAAGTCATCCCTATATGGTGCAGGAATATGAAATGATTAAGATAATAACATGTATGGCCACTTATCATAGAAGAGAAATGGCAATAAGAATATTCAGCAAATAAGAAGAACCATAGTTCTAGACGTGATTGTAGAGGCATAAATATTAAGATACATAAAGATCAAAAGATATTTAAATTCCATACTACATTTACATGTATGAATATTAAGAAAAACCCAGCAAATGTATCTATTTTATTTTAGGAATGAAGTGAATTAACATATGTGATATTAGGTCTCATCACTTGTCTGCAAGGATAATTTGTTCATAGGTGCCGTGTCCCTTGGTGTCTTGTAAAAGTCCACCTTTTTTCTTTACATAGGATATTAAAGATACAAAAGGAAAACTGAAAAGGAAAATCTGTCAGATATTAGGCATCAGATTCTTCCAGGTCTTTGCGACATACACATGGTAGTGTATTTGGACAGCTTGTTTTTCCACATTTCTAGAGTCCACTATCCTCTGGAAGCATCAAAGATTTGCATTCAGTTTGTTCCTCTTTCCTAAGTTCCTTTGATGAAGACATTGGCATTTACAGACCATTTCGTTCAGTTTCTGGTCAATTCTTAGTGCAGGAATTAAATTATCAATCCTAAAGAATTCAAGGTGAAGGTGAGAGTAACTCAAACACCTAAATCATGTTGTAATAACATACAACAAGGCTAATTCAAATCAGAACTAGCTATTAGTTCTAGCTATTAGTTGACAATTGAATGAGACATGAACCAGACAGGAACTTAGTAAGCCAGTGAATAAAAACAAACCCTTAGAAACTTAGATCTCTCTTCTAGTAAATCCATAAGCTAAAACTGCATATAAACAAGAAACCAAAAGACAGCAGAAGGAGCAAAATGCTGATGTCAATCACTTGGAAGAATGAAGAATTGTTCATAAAATTGACTTTAATGCCCATTTCCACTAAAATAACCTTAATAACAGAAAAATATCTCATATTTGGGCAGAACTCATAAAGGAAAATTTTCCTATCTGCTAGAAACAAGCATTGATCCAAATTATTTAGTACTACCTTCTCCAAAAGAAAACTGGAAAGAAAAGACTCATTAATTTCAAGCTGTACAATTTTCTCCCCAAATAAAAATCAACACACACTACTTTCATAAAATTTTGAACATAAAGTATCTTATGCTTTAACAGATTTCAGCAATCAATGGTCATGGTTTTTTAAATCTTCAAAGGTTTAAAAAATAAAGAGTTCTAGGTAAAAGAATTGCCTCATAAATGCTATTAAAAATACTCCTGGTAACACTAAAAAGATTTTATAAAATACAGATATACTTGTTAAGCCAGGAAAATTTATAACAAAAAAAAAAAGTAGATATTTTTGCTAAGCATGCCAAACACAGAAAAAAAAAGGTCAGAGGGGAAGAGACAGAGGGCCACTGTATGCCAGAATGCAGTAGAGCAAACTATTAAGAGGCACGATTTGAATACTACCTTGAACCTCCAGCAACACGATACTTGATATAATATAGACTTCCAGGTTCTTCAGAATATTCTACTTCCTAAGAAAAGATCGTAACTACTTAAATTAGATGTTGTTCTTTCAAATTCATACATCGAACCAGCAGAAGCAATATCCACTCAAAAATTAAAAATAGCACACACAAGGTCTGAGACTGCAGTCTGTAGATTCGGAGACCAATTAACCATGTAAGATCCTGGAAAAGTGCATACAAATAAAATCAGGAGCCACTTGGCATTATGAGATAAGTTTAAAAAATGAGCTAAACAATCTTTTTTTTTCAAGAACAAGCTCAGGAATCCTATTTCTTTCTTTAAATATCAGAAACGATAAAGCAAAGGAATCTTTCAGATGGATTGCATAATTTCCAAACTTACAAGAAATTTTGTCCGTTTCCTATCCTGAGATTCAAAGGGGGAATAAATTTTCTTTTTTTTTTAAATAAAAAGTATGAGTTAAAATATTCACAAGGAACCAAGGGGGTACTACCTATTTACAAAAGATTTATAATTTAGTTAAAATATGTATTACATTCCCAAAATTCTCCACCTTATAAATGTCTTGTCCAAGATCAAGGACTTAAAAAAATGAAACCATCTATCCCTGATCTTAGATATCTCATCCTCAATACCCTCAAAAACCTTATTGTTCTTTTTTTTCTATAACACCTAAAAAATAGTAAGTGGAATAAACTTTACATATTGCCTCTTTTCACATAACCCTTCCCAAGCCCAAATCTCTTTCCTCACCGAACCCACAATAACCCAATAAATTTCTAACAGTCTATAGATCATTGTCCATAGTTAATAGGCCATTGAGCACCACAGAAGAATATGATTACATGATTCACCATTATTTTGCCTCTTGCCATTAGCTTGTCAATCATCAAAATATACACATTAAGAACAATAGAAGCCATACTGAATACCTAGTGAGCCACAAACAAAAAGAATGGTACAGGTTTATACCTTGATATATTAATCCCTTCTTATGAAGTCTGACAAAAGCTTCAATTACAGCTTCTACAAAAGTTAAAACAAGGTGGGTCAATAAATAAAGGCATATAAACAACATACTTGAGCCATTCCTGAAAAAAGAAAAAATAATGACATAGTTTGCTGTAATTTTAGGTCTTGAAGACACACTTTGATGTACTGAAAGACTACGTAAAATCTATTAAAAATTGGAAAATAAGGATCTCTTTGGAGCTCACATGACAATTTAAACATTAAAAAATTTCATCTAAACTAGATAAAGACGAAAACTGACTTACGACTTAGCTTGTCATCGAGGGTAAAGTGTTCTCTTGTCCAATCACAAGAAGCACCAAGTCTCTTGATTTGATTTGTAATAGTACACCCGTACCTGAAATATTGAACCATACAAATATCTAAAAAGAGAAGTCATCTAGATAAACTAATAGAGCTACACAGCACATTGATTTTAAGTCATGCTACCCTCAACCCAAATTATGAATCCCAAACTAAGGCTCTGGAACAAAACTTCAATTGCATATCTATTAAACTTCATTCTTATAGGTATAGACCATCACTATTCCTACAGGTTCATAGTACTCTCAGATTGTTCCTTCAATAGCTCCAAATCCTTCAGCATGTTAAGGTCTTTTGTTTTAAGTCCGTGCAATGGCACTGCAAAAGGCCAAACAAGTGACAACTTCTTTTTTCCCTTAAGCCAGAAAAGCCAACTTTTTACAGGCATACACAATTATTTTCGTAGTGCCCCATCTTCTGTCCTTCAAAGCTCTACCTAAATTTGGCAGCAACTGACCAAACCATGACCAAACAACCATTAAAATTGTGTGCGATATCGTCATACCCCACATTATAAAGAATGTGATTATCATGTACATGTTCAAGACACACAATACCAAAACTTTTAAGCTTTATTTTTTTACGGCCAATAGTTGGGTTCAAAATGGTTGGCATAGCGGTTATTGGGCCCAAAGAAATGATATCTAAGCACGTTATATAATCTTGATTGGTGCAATCTTGAACCTTGTAGTCTTTTAAATTGGGATTTGTGATTGTGTTATGTAATCTTGATGAAGAAATTAAGGACTTGAGTAATAAAGATTGATATTCTAATTCCATATAAAAAAGATGTGATTGTTGAACTTCATATAAAACTTAAGTCACGCAACATTGACAGGACGTTGAAGTGAGTCTAAAAAATTGTTGGATAAGTGGTTCTTGAGCCAAGAAGTTATAATGTAATCAACCGAAACCTTTGAATGCCCAACCTCAGCCTCTTGCAGGGCTGGTAATCACAATATTGCCATGATTTGTTGTTTGGTCACTCCCCTGCTATTGCTTGCCTCATGAGATAACTTATCCTAACAATCACAGTGTGGTGGAATAGAGATCTCATAGTGACTTGCAAGTAACTCTTAATGTGACCAGTCAGGATTTGGCCAAGTTGATGGGTGCAAATCTGGTGTCCAGACTCTATGGCTTAGCCAAACAAATACTAGCGGCCTGACTTTTGTTAGTTTTCTTGTTCATTTTACAATTTTTAAGTAGTTCTATATTATTGTTGTTGTCCTTGTTATCACTATTTTGAAAATGTTTTATATGTTTTTTATTCTTATACTTCTTTGCTAAGTTTACATTATAAGCTTTCTATAATAACACTAAAAGCAACTTAAACCAAATGCATCACTATCTTACCTTAAGTCGCATTGCAATTATAAGCTACAGAAAATTCAGCTAAGACAAATGGGCCCTATAAGAAGGCGAAAATAATATCTACATGCGTGTTCTTTGTCAACTAGATCTAATTCAAGAGTAGATGCTATGAAGTAGAAATAAGTATCTTACACAAAGAACTTAATTAAAAATCTCTACAATGAAGCAACGCAGGAGAGAAAGGAATTAGGTATAAAGAGAAAAAGAAATAGTCAATGAGCGCTATAAGAACATGCAGATTTAGTAACAGCTAAATATGTTTTATAGATCAAAGAAATATACTTCTCCTTCCAGTCCCAAACTCGTTTTGTAAACTCATCTCTACTCAATTCAACCCTTTTTATTCCTTCTGATGCCAGCATCTTTTCCACGACCAACTGAGAAAAAGCATGTTAACTTCAACAAGAATCCAGAACCCATAAACCAAATGGCTTTTGATACAAATTTTTTATGGAGCTTCATTTCATCCCCAAAAAATTACTAAAATTTCTCTAACTACACTAAAAGCCCTAAAAACTTATCTTAAGACCAAAAAATAAATAAATATCTGGTCATCTTTGGAGAGGATACAGAAACAACTACAAGAATTTCCATTGTACATTGAAAAATATACAAATTTAACGTCCAAATAGTGAGAAGAAGTGAACAACAGGCACATGGACATAATTATGTTGCCATTTAGTCTGTATACGTACCTGAGTTGCAATACCAGCATGATCTGTCCCAGGAAGCCAAAGTGTAGGTTTCCCCTTCATTCTGTGGTACCTAACCATAATGTCCTACCATATACCATCACAAAATCAGATAGATCAAGAAATAGAAAGGCTATCGCATAAAATAACATGCTAGACTACACTTTTATTGACGACGAAATAATAGTGGAGATTGTAGAATCATTGATGGTCGAGAGCTTGATGAATTTGTAGAGGAGCCAAAGCATGTTAAAAATGTTGGAAATGAAGGTGGCTTGGTATATGAGAATGAGGTGATTGTTAAAATTCCACAACCACCGTATTTTCAGCATTGGTGTTGACGGAGACATGAAAGTTCTGATTTTTGTAGATGAAATCCAAAAGGAATGTGGAGTAGCAATTGAAAGATCTGTAGAGAAACACTTTAAAATTGTTCCCCAAAAGTTATATGGAACTAATGAGATGATTCTACCTAACTATGCACACTAAGTGTTTGAAAAAAATCCATCGCCAAACCAGTAGGTTTTTTGGCAATTGATGGCAAACAAGACAGATCCATTATGGTTGCAGATGATAGAGATGGACTTGCATTAGTTGGTATCTGGGTAGATACCCAATTTCATCCCTATCAAATAAGTCTAGCCACACTCCTTGAAGATTCTTTTTGCACACAAGACCATGTTCCAATTCAAAATTCGTTCGTGGAACTAATTATATGGCATTAAAATTGGCAACTCCTCTCTATGGTGTCATATTTGTTCAAAGGACAGTATGATTATGGTGGCAATGGAGACTTGAGGTTACTTAAGTTCATCCTTGAGGACAAGGATGCTTCCATGGGGAGGTTATTGTCAAGATCCATCAAATAGTAGTTAGGTTTGTCAAAAAATGATTAGTTAGGTTTTTTTTATCAGAACAGGTTCCTGACAAAAGGTTATGGGATTTGAGTTTGTGTTTCATGCCTTAAATGGGTTGTGAGTGGATAAGTGTCTAAAGAAGTGGAAGATTTCGCAATGGAATCCAATAGAATAAAAACAAAAAGAGACTTATTTCTGCATCCATTTAACAATCTTCCGAGGTTATAGAGAGAAAGAAATAGGAGAGTCTTTGAGGGTACATTCTAATGTTGTTACCACTAGAGATTAATGGCTCCAGACTTTTAGCTATTATGTACTATCATCATATCTAAAAAAGGGACGATCTTAGGTACCTTATACATTTTTTTTCTTATTCTCTTTTCTATATGAGTAACCCCTCGGTGCCTCCTTCACAACACTTATCTTTTCTTCTAAAAAATCCAAGGCATGAAGAATCAATCTAAAAGGATTATAGAATGAATAGTTATACGTCAATTACAGAAGGTTTTATTTAAAAAGAAAAAAAAATTAGTAAAAGGTGAACCCAATTATAAAATGAATATCCATACATCAATTATCTTAAATCCATTTCAACAAACCTCAAGTGCTACAAACATTGCATGTCCCATGTGCAGTGAACCGGTAACATTAGGAGGCGGCATTGATATCACAAAAGGATCACCTCCCTGGTCACATTTTGGTTTAAAATACCCTTGAGACTCCCACCTAATATACAGAAACCACAAAAACATACCATATTAATGTTTGTTAAACATTAAAAACACCATTTTATTGCACACATGGATAAATTGTTGCATACTAGAAAAGTAATAGAATATGATTCACATAGCTGAATTCAACTAGCTTGAAACATAGTTGAGTTTTGAAGTGTTGCCTTAGGGAAGATCCAAAAAAAATAAAAAATTAAATTAAGCATTTTATTTGTCCCTAGACCTTATTATCCACATCAACTTATGGGGAAAAAGCACATTGCTAAAAGAGCTTCCAATAAGATAAATATTATATAAAATATTGCTTGATAAGCAAATTGGGTCTGCTCTGCTTCTTTAGATAAGGATAGTGTAGCAAAACTCTCGTATAAAGCTTTCCTAAAAACAGTGTCAAAGGTCTTGAAATTGAATAGTTGAAAGCATTCTCCTGATCATGGATAGGCCTGAAACTCCGCTCCTCTTTTGGGGAAATGCAAACTGAGCATGTACAAGATACGCTAAAGAAATTTATGACTGGGAGAAGAAGAAAGGGTCGTGCATAAATTAATTCCAAACATGAAATTAAAAAAAAAATAAAGACTGCAAGACACAGAAATAAGCAGTCATTCCTAGGCTGCTCCTAGCAAGTGACATATGAAAAGAATGAAGAATAATATCAAACTCAACAAGAAAATATTATGAAGTGGTCTAATTAGGAAGAAAATACCATTTGTATATTCTTTCCTCAGAGCTAAAATCAAAAGTCTTAGCTACCTCGGGAGAAGTAAAGACATCATTCAATGATGCAGCAACTGCAACACAGAATAAAAATATCAGAACGGTGCATAAGGCAACACCGAATATATATCAGAACCAAGTCTCAAGTAAGAAACTTTATGTCATTCCGAACCGATAATCTTGATGCTTTTATGCACCTAAACATCTCCTAACCAAAAACAGATGATTACTTTCTGAAAGCAAAGAAAAAAGAAACTAACTTTGACGCATTCTAAACATATTAAAACCCAAGTTTAAGTTAAATTCAAAAGCAATCACGTTTCCCGTTGGTGGCGCGGGAATTTATAAAATATAAAAAGAAACGATATATTATACATTGAAATTCACTTCGGTTAAAAACTACAAGAAATTGCCAAGAAACGCGGAATTTGATTCATAAGTTTCCATTTTCTAGCAGCTTATCGAGAACCGAACAGAGCAGAAAGGAGAGCAAAATTTACCGGCAAAGAATCTAAATTTTATGCGATTAAAATTCCGGGGAGAGAGTGTAATGCCACGGCTTCGTTTGGAGAAGAGAAGGGGATTGAGTCTATAAGCAGAGCAAGAAGAGAGTAAAGATGGCGTAGAAAGACCCAATTGGAGAATCATACCGTCAATGGATCTTTAGTTTTAGGTATATAAATAAACAAGTAGAGAGAGTGAAACTAGAAGAGAAGAAAAAGTAAATTGAGAAACCCTAGCAACAACGGAAGGGCGAGGGTTTAAGACTTCAGTGGCAGAGAAAAGAGAAGAGAAGAGGGTAACGGTATGGATGATGAGATAATTTGACGCTGGAGAGGAGCCTAGGATGATACTTCTACTTGACCATTACTCCCGTCTATCATCGACGCTCCTCCGCCCGCGCCTGCCTGCCAGATCAAGGATTTTTGCTCCTTTTTTTAATTATTTTTATAATAATTTTAATTTAAACTTTGCAATAAAAAAACATTATATTATATAATTTAAATGCTATTAGTATAGTATAATATTTACTTAAACAATAATTTTGTAGCTCAAAATATTTTTATAAGATTGTGTTATATATAATTTTTTATTTCACTTTTGTATTTATATATTTATAATATGTATTTTTCCTTTTAATTTTATACTTGTAGATTTATAATTTTTGATTTAATTTTTTGGTATATTTGTGCATGCTTTATGTTTATGAAAGTATATATTTACAAAGTTAAATAAATCAAAATTTTGTAAAGAAAATTATTAGAAAAACTATAATTTACGCCTTTGTTTATATATTCTTCGACATCGACTATCGATCTAATTATTCTGTCTGTGCTGATCCAGACCAACCAACCTCATTTTTCTTCTTAATAATCGATCTAATCTATACATTAATGCAAGTTACTTATGTTAATCAGGACAAAGAAACAAGATGTTAGCAGTATAATTAAGTGGGAATATATACATAGATATATTCATACATGTAGAAAGTTCCAAATGGCACACTAGAGTCCAATCCCATACCAGAAGGAATATTCATAAGCAGTAAGTTTTGGTATCCCAAGTAAAAACTGCATCTTTGAATCTCCTCCTATATAATTACTTACAAGTACAGTCTCATCCGCCCATCAGATTCTTCCCTTAACTAAACTTCAATGGCCTTCTCTGCAGCCCTCTATGGCCATGGGAATTCAGCCATCATCTACAACCCGAAGCTTGCTTCAACGAAAATCCGAGCCAGCCATGTTACGAGCTCATCAGTAGTGCAGCCATCTATTGTAAAAGAATTGATCATTGCCAAGCCACATGGAATCACCTTACCAGAGTTTCAGTTTCAAGAATTCCTTTTGGCAAAAGCAAGACGAGTTAACCAAGCACTAGATGGAGCAGTTCCTCTGAAACATCCAGTAAAAATTCATGAGGCAATGAGGTATTCGCTTCTTGCTGGAGGCAAACGTGTTCGTCCAATTTTGTGCATAGCTGTGTGTGAGTTAGTTGGAGGAGATGAGTCTAGGGTAATGCCAATGGCTTGTGCACTGGAGATGATCCATACCATGTCACTCATCCATGATGATCTCCCTTGCATGGACAATGATGATCTTCGACGAGGCAAGCCCACAAGCCACAAAGTTTTTGGAGAAGAAATAGCTGTTCTGGCCGGCGATGCTCTGCTTTCCCTTGCATTCGAGCATATAGCAGCCAAGACTAGAAATGTCTCCCTTGATCGTGTGGTTCGAGCCATTGCTGAGCTAGGTTCAGCAGTTGGATCAGCAGGGCTTGTGGCAGGCCAAGTAGCAGACATTGACAGTGAGGGAAAACAAGTGAGCTTGAGTGAGTTGGAGTACATTCATTTGCAAAAAACTGCAAAACTTCTAGAGGCATCAGTGGTTTGTGGAGCAATAGCTGGAGGAGGAAGCATGATTGAAATAGAGAAGGTAAGGAAGTATGCAAGGTGTATTGGACTCTTGTTTCAAGTGGTGGATGACATTCTAGATGTGACCAAGTCATCAGAGGAATTAGGGAAGACAGCTGGGAAAGATATAGTGACTGATAAGGCAACATATCCCAAGTTGATGGGTATTGGCAATGCGAAGAAGTTTGCCAATGAGTTGTTGGTTCAAGCTATCAACGAGCTTGACAGTTTTGATGCTGCTAAGGCTGCTCCGCTGTTCCATTTAGCTAACTATGTTGCGAGTAGACAAAATTAGCTGCGCTTCCTGGTTCTTTCTGCTTCATCAGGGAGAAGTTAGTGAACAAGTTCCTAGGGATGCAATGTACACAGACCTTCATCATGTACCTCTTTATCCTCAAAATAAGTTTCAAGTAAAACATATAGGGTATATACATGTTACTGTACAACAAAAAAGCAGGAATTTTCAGCAGATTATCTTTTTTCTTTTGGTAGAAAATCTTCCGCAGAATATCACCATCCAAAATATTGGGAGCAAACCATATATTTAGTCACATACAGGGCCAGCATTCATATGCCATACAAACCTCTTTTTTTTCATATGAGAAGTTGTTGTAAACAGGACATGCGCACTGGGTTAAACCCAGGGTCTCCACCAAAGGCTCCAGAGTGCTTGGCCACCCTGCCAAACTGGTTCACCGGCGTAGAGACCTCTTACTACCAGCCAAGTTACATTTGAGATTCATAGGAAAGCCAATTCCATTAACCAGTACCATTAAAGCAACAGGCGAGATGATCTCCTGAATGAAAATATGATACCCTCTATTCCATGAAGAATACGATTAGAACAGAACAGCAGATCCTTTTGGTTCAGTATGTAAATTTTCATAAAACAACCTGTTCGAAGTTGGAGATTGTTGAAATAGAATACACCGTCTATGGTTGATCAATAAAAATTATAAGCTCAATTGTAAAATTGGCTTCGTTCAATTATGATGAACCCATTACTATTATCATCCTTCACAATGCGCCTTTTCTAATGTGACCCTCCAATGAATATTCAAAAAATATTAGCCCTCTCACTACAGAAGAAAGAAGTACGAACATGTTCACATGAAATTTCATAATATAACTGGTTTTTTTTCTCTTTTTGGTATTAAATTGTAAATAAAATTCAATGTGACAGAACATACAAGTATCTTTGTGCAACCAATCAAACTGTTACGACATTATCATTATTCCGAGAGATGATAAAAGTTTTCAAATGGCTTTTGAAGCTTGAAAACTCATTTATGTTGCTTATCAGCATAAATTGATTTCTCATCAACAGGTTGGTAATACACTAACATATACAATAAACAAACACGCTCCATGATGAAAGGTGAATATTTAACCATGTGCCAAAGCTACATGTACATGTCTACAGTATCAAAATAGTTTTAATTTTACAGTATGCCTCTTCTAATCTACTTCTCAAGACAACATTAGGTACCTGAGAGTTCCTATGGAAAACAGTATAGCAGCATCTAAATTTTTTAACCCATCACCTTGGGTCGCCAGCCTTCAATTACATCCTCGGGGACTGCACGTGTCTTAATGAACGAATCCATGGAAAAAAATTTCTGAAGATAATAATTCAGCTTTATTAGAATGAAAGTGTCATTTGATAGCAGCTACTATAATGTTGTCTTTTTTCAAATTCCTAACAATCCTTCTGTACTTTTGTTAATGGAAATCATTAAGTTAAAAACACAGTTATAATGAAGACAAGCTATACAATCATGTATCTGGCGTAAAGGCTGCAATATGAAAATGCTGCAGGAATCTTGAGGACATCCATATGCATATGCTTTCTCAAATAATAAATGACGTCCCATGTGCATTTCCTAATAGCTCTCTCTTCTGTGAGTGTGTGCACAGCTGCAAATGAATATCCATGTATATTCAAATCTCTAAGAATTTAGGAAACACCTTTTGTTTGTGTCAGTGGTTAGCAACTAGACCAGCATTCACTGAAAAGTGGCATGGATCCTCATTATGTGTTTATCAACACTCTCTCTAAGATGCAAGCCATGCTCAATATAAGAGGATGTGTAATCCACATGCAGGTTCACTCAAATTCCTTATTGAAGATGACATTTGATGAAAGAAAGAACATAATCTTCTTATTCTGGAAATATGTTAAGCAACCAATCATCCTGGAAGCTTGAATTGATGGACAAGTGGCCCAAACTTACACTTAAACCCTAGCAGTTGGGTGGTTTTTCCTTAGCAATGATGATCCAGTTAAGATATTTAATTTCCCTTTTCTTTTTCTTTCTAAATGAATTAACTAACCAAACTAGACAGTCATTCTCGTAAACCAACCTAGAAGAAGTTAGGGAAGATAGAAAGTTAATAGCCCAGTGGACGATAACCAACTAATTTATGTTACAGCAAGCAACAGAGTGAGAAAAAATTTCGTTCTTGTGGTGTGGGGAAAATGAGAGAGAGAGAGGAGAATGTTCATCAATTTCCGACTGCTCATGCAGTGGAACCTGTTGGCAGCAACAAAATATATTAAAGCCAAACATTCAGCTCATGTTACGCATACCTCCATGTAGGACTTCACAAATGAAAGAGAATCTGGAACAGACCACTTCTTATAATGACCCAAAGCAATCTCTAGATGGTATAGCTTTGGTCCGAGGGACAAATCTGCTGCAGAAATCTTCTCCCCATTGATAAAAGGGCCCTTCAAATTGAAAGAAAAAGAAAATCAATTAAGATGCAGATATGTGGGACCAGAAGACAAGGAAACATCAAGCCTTTTATGGTAATGAACGAACTTTCTTCTCTCCTTTAAAATGCAATTGCAAAATGCATGAAAAAACTAAGAAAGCTTACATTCTCTTTGATGTAAGCATCAAACGAACTTAGCTCATTGAGTAATGACTGCTCTGTTCCATCACTCGGGTCCTTGCTCTTCAGGAAACCAATAAATGTCGAGAATATCTTTGACCCACTACGAAGAGAAATTAACAACAGCTTTTCCTTCATTATTAATTTACAGCTCATTACAGGAACAGATTTTGATAATGGTACAGAAGCTGAGTGATTCTTAGTGAAACCACTAAACAAGCAGAATATCTTTTACCCATTACATAAACATCTTTCCATTAATTATCAACTTCCTACATAACAACCTTAATACAATTACCATCACCAAAGAAATTAGATGATGTTACTAAAATTAGGTAATTAGGAAGAACCAATCTAAGGATCAAATATGTACTTCTTATAGATAGCTTCCTGTTAATTCTCATTTTAGAGCTCTCCTAACATTTTGAAAATTGTTTTTGCAAGAAATTTAATGGTGTTATCAGCGAGTGCTTATGACGTCAACTACATGAAGACACAGTGATAACATATATTCTTCTAAATCTGTCAAATTCTGATGTACTAGCATTGGTACAAACATATTTGTAATGTTTCTGTAAGGAATTAGAACTTCAGAATGACATATGTGGCCTGAAAGACAATATATTCAGCAATATATGTACATAACTACACCTGCACACACATTCACCTGCATGCATGTACTAATGCATTCGCACGCACAAGGACACATGGTCTCCATCTCTCATAAATAAAATAAATGCTTCCAAACCACGAATTCATTGCATCACCATCAAGTTCACAATTTATAAACTGCTTGTAAAACGATTATAATCAGATGTAAGCTATGTATCATAGAACATACACTGAAGCCTTCTCGGGCGGTGTTTGCAGTGGTGGTTCAGGGTACTTTTCTTCTAGGGACTGTGTTATAACATCTGAATCTGAAACCCACTTCTCATCAAGTTTTATAACAGGAACTTGACCTTCTGGACTGATTTTTAAGAACCTAAATACCCAAAAAAAAAAAAAAGACAAATAAGCAAATAGATATGCTACTTAACATAAAAAGAAAATAAAATTAAGGCATCGTGAGTATATTTATCAAAATAGTACTTGACAAGGTTCAAACAATCACCATTCTGGTTTATTGCGCAAATCCACCAACTTCATGTCATACGGAAGATGCTTTTCCTCCATTGTCAGCAAGACCCTTTGGGAAAAAGGACCTACAAACAGCAATCAGACAACATATTAACCCCATACCCAATTATAGCAAAACCATTTCTTTTAAGAGGAAATAATCCAAAGCCATACAAAGGTAAATTGACATAAATCAAAATAAAAATACAGAATAAAGGATTTTCTTTTTCTTTGAGAGGGAGACGAGAAATAAAATTAGAATGAGAATGATATTCTAATTCTCTTCTTGATTAAAGCTATGGCGCTTTCCTATGACAACTACTCGGGCAAGAATCATACATCCATTATAAGCAATTCAACAGTAAGTAAAACGAGTTGGTATATAATTTTGTCCAACATATTAAGAATAATTCAGTAATTAACCAATGGAAACAAGCAATACAAACGCAAGTAGTAATAGCATTACGCGAAAAATTCTTGAGCATCTATATTTACATATCACAGAATTTTATAACCCTTAATTTCTAAACAAAACTGAAATTTTCCTCATTACTGAACCTAAGTTCTCCATTTTCATAAAATTTTACTAAACAGAGTTAAACTTATGGGACGAAGACGAAAAGAGAAGAAAGAGGACTGACAGTCGCCGAGCCTGTTGGGAATGGTGATGGAAGCTTTGACGCAAACTTCGAGGGGAGGAGTTGCCATTGCGACAGTGAAGCTCTTGGTTCTCTGCCTGGTCCAGTGGGAGCGTCTTGAAATGCCGCAGTTCTGGGGGAGACGGATGTTGAAGCCTAGACTCTTGATGGTAGAACAGACAACAGAAGCTGCGTTGGGTTGAATTTGGCGGTCGACATTTTCTCGAGCTTTATTTGTGTGCGTGGAAGCAAGGGAGAAAGCTGAAGCTGTCAACAGATTATGATGACACCGCTTCCATGGCAACCCCATGTAGGCTCTGGAATCTTGGATGCTGTAAACACGTGGCATCTTAAATAAATAAATAAAAAGCAAAGGAAAATTTTTTAAAAATTAAATACAATAATTTATTATTTTATAAATATTTATAAAATAAAATTAGTCTTCGTCTAATATTTAATTTAATAAATTTAATTTATTAATAATCAAACAAATTAAATTTTATACCGATAAATTATCATATTAAATATTTTCGATATTAAATATTTTCGAGAATGACAAATTTAAAGATCACGATATTTGAAAATAACAAATTTAAATATCACCGAGAACATAGATGGAGTAAAATAGCTAACCTATTATGTATAATTTAATAAAAATTCGAACTTAACTTATTAATGCATTAGTTGAGTTATGTATTTGAAGATCACGACATTAAATATCATCGAGAACGTATAATTTATCATTTTTATGGTATATTCAATAGAAATGAGAGTTTAACTTATTAACGTATTAGTTGAGTTATGGTGATCAAATTAAATTAAGCACCAGACATCTAATTTGTTAATTCGTTAAAAAAAACTAAACTTTACTTTAATATAAAAATTTTAGTGCTAAAACTTCGTTCTTACCTTTTTTTTCTTGATCTCCAATAACACGTTTTTTTCTCTCTAAAAGGAAAACTTTTCTTCTTCTAGCCAATTGAAAATTTGAAGGCATTCAAAGATTTCAATATTCAAGCTCTTTCCATTTCATCAAGAGCATAAATGAGACATGCTTAAACACATTCCAATTGCTAGTTTATATATACCAATGGGTAATTACAATTTAAATAGTTGACCAAAAATTTAGTTTTTCTCATCTTCCAATTGTATCTAAAATTTTATTATATACAATGAGATTATACGGGCCGAAATCTCTCGGCCCGACGATGCTACGAAGTTCATTACTAGAGGGTTGGGCTTTTTAATTTTTTGCTTAAGAAATTTTAAAGTGGAAAACCCTATAAATGCATTTTTTAAAATTTAGGTTAAACCCATCATTTCAATATATATATATACATAACACACACACACACACACACACATATATATATATATATATATGGGGCACTCATTTAGGGCTTTTATGATGAATGCTAGTTTTCATATTGGGACCCAATGCATCACATGAAATACCATGTGGGTATTGTTTGGGATAAGCAACAAAGGAGCCCACCATTCATATCCCCTTCCCTTTTCCCTTGGCCCAAATTTGCCCTCCCTGTTTTTGGGCCCCCTACCCTAAACAAATCATATTAATCCACTAATCTCATAATTATTATTAATTAATTATAATAATTAGTCCAATCTTACAACATAATCAGAACTATTTTCCCATTTCAGAAATAGGAAAAAATTTGACTTTCCAGATATGATTTGATGTCAACAATGAAAGGAAATGTCCCAGGGAACACAGGGCACATGGGAGAGATTTTGTTCAACTCATTAATGACCCAAAAGGGTCCTACCAAAAAAGGCATGTATACATATATATTTATATTTATATACATGGTCTATGGTTTATAAAGAAGTTTGGCAGTTGTTTGCCAGTCATGTCCATGTCAAGGGTATGTACCCTAAATTTGTAGGGTAAATTTGGATCATGAATCCACAGGTCTCTCTGCTTTTGCCAGCAGTAAAATTCTTCTTTTAATTCCCTAATTAGATATGGAGGAGTCTCTGAATTTTCCCCCAAACAATCATGGTCAGTGTTAAGATTTGAAAGGATGACTTGTCATAAAATAGTTACTTTATTACCTTCTTCTAGTGGTTAAACCCTGAAAGAGTTATCTTCAAAACAGTTAAAAAATATATATATATATATATATAATTACTGCTGCAAAATATTAAATATATGACTGGTAAAATATATTAGAAAGTATAAATAGTGTATTAAATTATTCTTCTTATTTCATTATTTTAATTTTTCAATTTATTTTAAAGTAAAGAAAGAAGACATATCACTCCATGACAAATGGCAAGCAGTCCAACTGTTGGAGTTGACATGAATTTGACTAGCTTTTACAGCCTCACAATAACCCATCATCACCCAACATCCAACAACTAAGATAAACATCATCAACTACACAAGAATTTCTACACTCAATGCCACTTAAAAAGAGTTCTGGTTTATGATCAAGTGTGACATTGAGATATGGTGTCTGATTAGATGGAATGGGGTTTTCTCTCTCGCATGTTTTACTATATGGGTTTCGCTCGTAAAGCTGTTCAATTGTTTTCTCGATGTTACATAACAATCACGTATCAACTACTCATCAATAGTATACTTATTAAAGATGACCTACCACAATGTGGCCTCTATTAGGAAGATCCACTCTTTTCTTATCTCTTTATTATTTATACAGATGTTCTATCTCGAACAATAAAAGTTGATAGTACATAACTGTTTACATCTGAACCCTCAAACATTTCCATAACTCATATGCCCTTTACAAATGACTTTTTTTGTTTAGGTAAGCCATTGACGCTAATTTGAAAGCCTACCTCTA